AGATCTACTTTGACTAGAATCCATCTCCATATCAATTCCTTTTTACTTTAAATTACTTTATTTAAAAAAAAATCTACTCTAACAAAAAAATCCCCCTTTTGTTTTTATTTGCTAATTTGTTTATTAATAAAATTAATATCTTACCACTCTTTGTAGATTCGATCCTACTTAACACTACTAGAAGTTATTTTTCAAAAATTGACGCCACTATCAAGGAATGGTGTCATGTAGGTTAATTTTATTTTTCTTGTTATTTTTTATGCTCTATTCTTCTTGTGTAGGGAAACTTGAATATGATCCCGAAATCGAGAGAACTATTTGTCGATTGAGAAAAGAAGCAAGAAAATAAAAGCAATCTTCGACTGAGGAAGAGTGCTTAAGACAAACCATGACTGAGCTGACCCTACGCCAACTAGCTACGCTCAAGATCGTCCATCAGCCACCATACATCAGTTACCAAGATCTTGAGGTACCGTTCGAACTCAAGTTTGGTCTAATTCATCTTCTTCAAACTTTACAAGTTATTGAGAACGAAAATCCACACGAGCATTTGAAGGATTTTCATTTGGTGGGTTCAAGCATAAAATATGAGCATGTCACAGTAGATCAAGTCAAGCTACGTGCTTTCTCATTCTCTCTTGCTGACCATGCGAAGGATTGGTTATACTATATACTATCTAGATTCGTAAACATTTGAACAAATATGACTAGACTCTTCCTTAAGAAGTACTTTCCGGCTTTAGGAGATGCCAACATTCGAAGAGAAATTTTTGGGTTTCGACAAAGAGATGCCGGAACACTTTACGCTTATTTGGAAAGGTTCAAGAAACTACGCTTAAGCTGTCCACAACATGACGTATCCAATCAATTGTTGATCTAGTACTTCTATGAAAGTTTGTTGTCAATGGAAAGAAAGATAATGAATGTTGCGAGTGAAGGAACAATCATGAAGAAGAGCCCTACCCAAGCCAAAGACTTGATCAACGTAATGACGACAAACTCTTAACAATTTGGTCCACATCATGAAACTGTCTTTAGACAAGTTAACGAGGTAAGTATTTCTTCTCTTGAAGATAAAATTTCAAATCTTACCTCTCTTGTCCAAAGATTGGCAAAAGATAACACACAACAAAGCAAATCTTATGGAATTTGCACAAGTAATGATTATCAAACTGATATGTGTCAAATACTATAAGACTAGACTACCGAAACTACTAATTTACACAATTAATGAAATTTTCGTTAGAGGTCTCAGATAATATTTGAAGCAAGCATTAGGAAATTAATGGAGAGACCACAAGAGTTTCTTAAAAAATAAATATTTTCAGAACAACCTCAGCCTTGAAGGAAAGCTGCAAAATGTCCCACCTAGATTGATCAGATATCAATGGGAAGATACAGTCAGGTTTTGGAGTTCAAAGAAAGGAGAGGTATGACGCACTTTGAAAATAATACTATGTCACTAAATTATTGACTTTATAAGTCATGTGGAGTTCAAATTGTATGACCGAGTGCACGTTGGTATTGTTAGTAGACAACAACAAAAGTTTACTCACATTGCTAGATCGAAGAGTTTTGTTCGTGTAGCTCATGAACAAGTATTCGCGTTTTAATTATGATTATTCCTATAGTCATTTTAAGTTGGTAGCATATAGTTTTTAACCATTTTTTCTATTATTTCTTACTTGTTTTGTAAGTATTAATTTATATTCTACATTGTAGGAAATAACGTCTGACAGTAAAGTTGGTCGAATACAGCTCTTTGAAATCACACATACAAAAAAAGATGGCTCTCCTATGGCTCCTGAAGCTGCATATATTATGGTATATTTACTGGACATAAAATTTGCATTCTATTTTATTGATAGTATGAAACTGTGTATTTTAAATAACTCTTGAATTTGTTCTACTTTCTAAACTGATTATCAGGAAAAATTGAGCGATAAAAGGGTAGAATACGAAGTTACGGCTTCATCCTATGCTTCTATTAATGCGGAGGAGATTGAAAATCAAGTTATTGCTGAAGTTTTCGGTCCTGAAAGATATGGTCGAGTTCACTGTCAATGATCATTTGTTACTCCAACCAAATTCTTTGGATCCAGCTCGTCTCAGTACATGTCATCACACAAACAGTCTTCTCAACAAGAATTTATTCAATTAAAACAACAACTGAGTGAATTTGATGAAAATATTGCTCAAATGAAAGCCGAAGTTGAAGCGAAAGAAGCGGCGAGAGAAGCAGAGAGAGCAGTGAGAGAAGCAGAGAGAGAAGCATCATTTCAGAGAAAATAGAACTTCAACAACAAATTAAAGCTATGAGGCATATGATGCAACAGAATCAAACGAAGAATTCATCATCCTAGGAGTTTTCTTAGCATAATACTTACTTTATGGAAATTCGAAGTTGTTGAACTACATTATATTTAACTTCAATGTTTGTAAACGATGATTTATTTATGTTTTTATGTACTATTACTTAATTCGAATCTTAATTAAATTTACTATAAGTTGTTGAATATTGTTACAGGTTAAATTTGGGTAATAAAAAATACGAAAAAGATATGTTAAAATCAGTTTCGATTAGCGGCGTTTTAGGGGGGAACGCCACTAATGGAGTGTCTATATACCGGCGTTTTTACGATTAAACGCCGCTAAATGACCAACTTATCGCGGCGTTTCTGCCAGACATGCCACTACATATCAAATCTATTGTGGCGTTTGTGACTACAAACACCGCTATATATTAGATATATTGCAGCATTTTTTACTACAAACGCCACAAAATATTTATTCAAACGTCGCTAAATATCAAACATGTTTATGAAAAATGCCTACAAATATCAAACATATTCAGGCGTTTGTATTCAAAAACACCGCAATATAACATGACCTTTAGCGGCGTTTATAAGTAGAAAACGCCGCGAACAGTTGCGACGTTTGTAATAGCGGCGTTTTTGTAGTGTTTTTTTTTGCGTCGGCAACATTTTTAGCGGCGCTTTTAAACGCCGCTATTGACCACTTCTGCTGTACCCAAAGAAATATAATCCATATTAAAACAGTTACCATCCAGGATAGAGAGATCATCTTAACTTATGGACAGAGACCACAAATAGCATGTCATATTCGAATCAATGAAGTATCTTTTTCTTTTGTGAACCAGAGCCATTTTCATTATTAAAACCTTTATTGGAAGATATAATGCACTCTCTAGCCAATAACTTGCAACAATTCAACAAGAGACAAGATTGAGTATTAAAAATCTTGAAACCCAAGAAATTCAAATTGCCTAATCTCTTAGTCAATCTGAATCTTGAGGTAAGTTGCCTTCACATATTAATGTTAATCTTAAACAAAATGTGAGTGCTATTACTTTGAAAAGTGGCAAGATTTTGCATGAACCAACCACCATCATAGCCAAAACTGATGAGGAAGAGGAAAAAGCATACACACAGAGAAAAAAAACCCGAGGAAGAAGTTGGCGCTCAAGAAGCCATCCAACTGAAAGTGATTCAACCTCATTTCCTCGAAGGTATTCAAAGACATAGAAGGATGATCAAGAGAGAAATTCTTGAGACTTTTCACAAAGTCGAAGTAAACATTCTCCTACTCAACGCAATCAAGCAAATCTCTATGTACATTTTTCTTAACAAATGTTAACAAGTTCACAATGAAAATTTGTAGGAGCAACTTGATCTTTTGACGAAAATGCTAATAAGTTCATAACGAGAAACAAAGGAAACAATGGATGTTGAAATTTCAAAAAGAGAAAAAGTAAAGCAAGTGTGAACAGATATAATGAAGGTCAGAATTATTATGTTGCATTCAACTCAAATATGGAAAAAGTGATGGCTGACTCTGAGCACTGGAATGATAATGATGATGAATTAAAAAAAGATGGTAAATAAAATCTTCACTAGGTCTATCAAACCACTGATTGATGATAATAGTACTTTGAAGTTGGAAAAATGAGGTATTTGTCAGTATAATGAGAACTCTGCAACATAATAAGGCTGAGATGCCTCCATTAACAATGCATCCATGCAGCTTAAAACAATTTAAGATCTTGATATTATGCAAATCAAGATTGATATTGCATAAATAACCTTTCACAAGACCTTAGAATAACATGATTTTCCCCCCTCAATAATAAAGCTACCTAACATGGAACTGAACCAGACATTGGAATCGTTAAATTAATCTCTTTTTTGGACTTCTTATTGTTACACAAACCCTTCATGAGGGAGGCTATCAGTCGTTTTTGTATGTTTAATGAGTGCAAACCTAATAAGTAGAGGGAAGATACATTTTATCAATTTTAATCAAGTACATCTATCATGTAATCAAATGAATGAAAAATATTTAATTGCTATTGAATTAAATGACTTAATTAATTTTAATCGAGTTACTCAATTTTAGACTTAATTTGATCATACAATTTACATTAAAAATCTTACATTCAATGCAATAAATCATAATTTTTAATAACAAAATATTTTCTTATAATAACATTTATCACATTGTAATGAATTTCAAATGTCTATAATTTAAGCCACATTACTGCCTTGTACAGCATTACAAACTCGGTGTAACAAGTATTTATGTAACCTACACATCATGGTTACAAAAAGTTTTTCTTGTAAATAATTTCAATTAAATCATTTGCACACAATTATAAAAAATATATATGATATACGTTAATTGTACATCATAAAATATCATCCCCCAACACAACAAATACACATTTATGTACATTTTCCTTAATAAACGAGCATATAGTAGGCGGAACAAGAGAAAAGAGAAACATTTGGCATGCATGACTTCGACCAAAAGCCTTTTCGTTAGATAATTCACGTCTCTTGATAACAGGACGCGCTTTCAATGAAATTTTATTTCAAACGGAGGTTTACTGACATCATACAATGAAAGAGCCAAGAACCGGTGTCTTTTAGTTTAACCAGTTCCATTCATGGATATAAATCACATATCTTACTCCGCACTGAGAACAGCGGTTCAAGTATTTGACCACAAGAAATTGCATCGGAAATGATAACTAAAAGAAAGAAATTCAAGTCTTAACAGCAAAGAACAAGAAGGATGTGTGCGCACCGAGTAGCTTATTTCTTCACAACCCAAAAAAAAAACGGCTCATTCGGTTAGTCCATGACCACCAATTGGTCAGAGGGAGGCTAGTTGACAACATCAACAACCAGCTTGCGAGATTTGAGAACAGACCACCTCAAGCGGCGGTAGTAACCAGCTTGAAGCAATGCCAATGACAATACAAATATCCATTTGAAGCCCATCTGCATTACAAGACGGAAATATCATAAATTATTTTTTAAAACATGGGTCTTAAGATGAAAGATTCTTTTGTGATATAATACGCACCAGCTTCCTTTCTTCCATTTCTGGTTCTGCTGCCCATGACAAAAATGTCACCACATCTTTCCCCATCTACACCATTGACAACAATATCAAAGTGTGAACAACATGTGCATGTAATATGCAAATACTTAGGAGGGTTCTCAAACCCATAGGAAAAATGAATGAAACAGAAGGTAGAGACCGACCTGAGCTTCGGTTGCAGGCGTGCCATCTTCATACTCTACAGCACCATCAATAAGCATTTTTGGCATGGCAATTGCTCCCCCGGGAAAGTAAGGGTTATAGTGTAAACCGTCTCGAATCTACAAAATTGAGAAATGAGGTCTTTAGGGATTAATCTCAACAAAGAACATTCAGTCATGGCTAACTATTTGTAGCCTGCTATTAACATCAAGTGTATGCGGAAGTGTCCGTGCATGTAGCAAACACATGCATACAAAAGCTATTCGACAAAAAATAACAACAGTTCTGTTTAAATCAATACTTCAATCTGAACTATACAGTAACAGAAAGACTTTGTCCTTTCATTAAAAACATGCCATTTTCACAAGACTAGCACATTGATAAGCAGCAACCAAAATGTCCAAATTCAAAAAGCTATGGAACATCATCCTAACTTCAGATGCACATTGTATCTTCTGATGCATACTCCCAATTGCCAAATAAATAAATATGCAGAACCTTTGTACAAAGCTACACAGATTAAAATTTTTAACATAGTGTAGAACAGAACTTACCGTAACACCAGCAGGAGGATCATGGTAACCAGTTAGAAGTGCAAACACATAATTCTGACCATTATGACGAGCCTGAAAAAATAACCAAGTATGATGATATCTCGAGGATATATAACCAATAACTTCCACAGTGATCTAAAAAGCAAGGCAGAAATTACTTTGGTAATGAGACTTAGATCTGGAGGATAAGCTCCTCCATTCGCAAACCTAGCTGCTTGTTCGTTTGCATATGGCTGAGGGAAACGGTCACTGAGTTTACCCGGACGAGTAAACATCTCACCCTCATCATTAGGACCATCAACCACTTCAATCTCAGCTGCCATAGCCTTCGTCTCCTCTTCCGTATATGCAACGCCAACCAAATCACGGTATGATATTAGAGACATAGAGTGACAAGATGCACAGACTTGCTGGTAAACCTGGTGACCGCGACGAATCCTGACCATGCAAAATTATTCACACATTATGAACATTTAGGGAAAAAAAAACTCAAATATTCGCAATGGTTAACCTAAAATTATTACTACAATGCAAGATTCTAAATGGATTCCCTCCTTTCCACCGAATTGAAGTTGAGAGTTTAGACCGATATAAAAGGTTTTTCCTTGTGTGGAGAACAGAAAACAATAGGAGCTAAAATTAAAGAGATCGTTCCTAAAAGGAAGACTCGATGGCCCCCGATTATATTTTGAAATCATCAATGTTTGCATTTGGATCACGTTTTTAAGTAAAGTTAAATCACTTTTGCGCATAAAACCAAAAAAATAAGGACATGTATAAAACTCACGAGGCATGGTCATATGAACTGAGGATGCCCTGGTGAGGCCAAGGATAATTCGGAACACCTAACCCGTGTTCTGCCTCATCAGCAGATGCTACAGTTGCAAAACCTAGTAAACCAGTAACACCAGCTCCAATGAGTGCAACTGTCCTCATACCAGCAGAACCAGCATCGTCATTAGCTTTCCTTGATGTAAACCACGATAAAGCTTGAAGCTGAACAATAATGAATAACAAGTATTGACAAGTGGTAGAAAAATATTGCAGATTAAATCGTATAGAAACTTTCATTATTATTCAGAGATGAAAATAAATCACAAATTTAACAAAACTGGCCTTCAATAGTTAGCATTCATCTCCAGGAAAGTGGAGAATCCATGTAGCTAAATATTTCAAAATTTTCCAAGAAAATCCAGTAAGAACTACGCAGTTTACGGATTCTTCATAAGCTCACTCCATTAACAAGCATGGTGTTAATGAAGGAAAACTAGGAAAGAAACTTACAGCAGATTGAGATTGAAGTTTCCTCCTCAAAACCTGGTGGATTAATCCTCCGGCCATTTCAGTTAATATCCCTGAAAATCAGTTGAATCTTAATAAGAAAAAGCATATTTACAAATAAAAAAAACCAAGAATCAAATGAGATTAAACAGATAATCCATACAATATATTCTAACAACTCCAATAATAAGATAATTTTTTAGTCAAGTAAATCATCGATACTACAAAAAAAGGAGAAAGCTTTAGAGTGTTCAAACAAATGGGTCGTGAAAACACAAACACCGGTCAGATTTTTCGCATAAACCCAATCTAAAAAATAGCACAAAGAAGCTAGAAAAGGTGAGGTTTAACATGAAAGGGGGGGAATATAGAAAACCCTAGAATGGGGATCGCAGATCCAACAACTATGGAAGAGAAATAACTTGAGAAAGAGAAGGGAGAGAGAGAAAAAAACTAACTTGAGAAAGAGATCGAAGGTCGATCACAGAGAAGTGGTGGGCAAAGACACCGGCGGCTGCTTCACAGATCCAAAGGAAAATAGAGCTGAAATATTAATTATAGTGGGAAGATAACCAAAAACAAAATTGGTAAAGAGACTGAAGATTGAATTAGGGATGGAAAAAATATATCCGGATTTAGACCCAATTAAAGATCCGATATTTTTTTAAACTCGGATTTTGAAGTGATTTAGACCCGATTAAATTATCTGGAAAGAAAAAAGAAACAACCGACCGATCCTCAAAACAGCCCCAAGGGTTTACACTCCGGGAAAGACATAAAATCAAAAAGGTCTAATTGTGACCTACTCATTGTACTATATTGAATTTTATGATTTAGCTGCTATACTTGATAAAATTCTTCTATTAATCTTTTCACTAATATATATTGTGGAATAGTAACTTATACTCTAATTTATTTATTTTTAATCTTATATTTTCTATCTTTCGAACTTTAAGTTCTAATCTAAAAGATAATTTTAAATCAAATTCTACTATTATTATTTCTATTAAACATTCAGGTCATATTATTTAATTTATTTTTTTAAAATTCTTATATTTCAATCATATTTTTCTTATATTTTTTAACTCGTTATTTAAGTTTCATAGTTCTAAAAATAAAGAAACCAAAATTAATTAAATTATATCGTATAGGCTAGATCCACAATTTATACGTTATGCATAAATTAATTACAAAATTTGACATTTATACATTATTCGTTATATTAATGCTGCACCTTAATCCATATTAATACCCTTCAAATTGATGTGAAAATATTAATTAGTGTCGAGTGGAATGGTCAAATATATTATAATTTTTAAAAATAATTTAAATTTGAATGTTGGAAATAGTTTTATCATTTTAAAAGTAGAATATCTCAACATCATTCTTTGAATTAAAAAAAACAATGTAGTAAATAAGTAAGCCAGGTTAAAGCATAAGGACTAGGTCCCAAGTTAACTAATATCACATGGAGTAGAAAAGATATTCTACCAAAATTTTAATATACAAAAGCGAACCTCGAAAGACCATTAGGGGGAACCGTTGGCGCCCTACATAGTTAGCGGCTGTCTCTCTTTCTCTTCTATTCTAATAAATAATGGAGATCAGAAATAGTGTTGATGAAGCAGGTGCAAAAAGAAAATGGGGAAGTACCACCACCACCATCAACATCAAAGCAAGAGCAAACTTGTGTTCATAGTGTTTGTTGCCTGTCTTTTGGGACTGGGTTACATACTGAATCTCTACTGGGCATCTTCTTCTTCTTCTTTTTCCTCTTCATACCTCAGCTTTGCATCCAATTGGGTGTCTCAGAAACCTCGTATCTTTGTTGCTCAACAACAACACCACAAGGTTTTCCCTTTTGTATCTCACCCTCTTTTTATTTCATCCAATCGAGTGTCTGGTCTGGTATTGATTTGTGTCATAACCATTTTTATAAAAAAAATAATTAAATTTAAAAATAATTATAATTTATTGGAAAATTAACGATTTTTGAATTAATTTGAAAATTTTGAATTTGAGTCATCATCAACATTTGGGTTAGGTAGGTCGAATACCTAAAAAAAAGGTCTTTTAAAACAATTTTAAGGAAAATTGTTTTGTAAGACAAAAATTGGTCTGCGTTTACAAAAAATCTGATTTAACGGGTCCGAGAGTCGATTACGTGTGTGGAATGATAAACACCTCCACAACACCCAAAATTAGTACTTCGTCGTTTATACATTTTCGTGAATATGGAAATTATAAATCGAATATAAAGTTAAATTATGATCCATGCATTGAACATTAATTAATTTATTTCGAATTATTTATTAGGAAATTTTTTAATTGAAAAATAAAACTCGAGATTAGCAATCCTCTATCAGGAAAATTATCTAGTCTATTTCTTGTCTAACAATAATATTCCCTCCTAGATAAAAGCACGAATCGAATATAAATTGAAAATTGGCATTTGCATACAAAATAAATTGCTATTTACTTTATCATGCATTGCATTATTTGAAAAAAAGATGAATTAATTAGCAAAATAAAATCAATTTATTTAAGTTCACATTTTGTTCGAATGTCGTAACGGATTGTACTACTTCAATCAAACAATGATTTCCACGCCCATTCTACAAATCGAGTTCTTGAAAATATTCGAGTAATACTAAAATATCAATATTGTTTACAAGACACATGCGTCGTACCAAAAAATCATTCCATAAATTCAATTAAAACAAGTAAATATAAAATAAAATAAATAAAGGTGAACATCTTACAATCATACAATATTGATATTAAGTAACTATATTTACATATATATATATATATATATATATATATATCATAATAACAAAACATCTAATAACATATATAACAATAAATAAAAAAAATGTATGGTTTAAATCAAAATAATAAAATTAATATGACACTAGATGACAAAAACATTAAATTAAAATAATGAAAGATAACAGGGGCTGAAGGTATAATAATACCACCAGATTATAAACATTATGCAAAGAACAGGGACTAAAATGAACCTAAGAGAAAATTTAAGCCCAAATCATACATTAACCCAATCGAACCAAAAGCAAACATAAATGACTGAAATGAAAATGAAGCAAAACAAATAGCCAAAATCATAAACATTATCAAAGCTATAACTAAGAAAAAATATGGACTAAAATAAAAGACAAGAAAGTTTAAAGACTGGATCATAAATATCAATAAGATTAATTAATATACATAAAAGGATCAAAATAAAATGAATCATAAATCATCAGCTAAAAATGGATATTAATCCTAATACATATTACAGGGAAGAAAATGACTAAAATGGGAATACTAAGAACTTCAAGGCTCGAATCAAAAGGAAATAATTTCTTTCAGTGACCAATTTGTAAGTGTTACAAAGATGGAACCCTTCCTGCGTGATTAGCCCATGTGCTAAAATACCAACCAGTCCTCATCGAACCTACGTCGTTTCTTGTGTGATATATAAGCCCGAAACCAAGGCTTTCCCCTTCATTCTCCTCATTTTGCTCAATTTAACAGCAGAGGGTGGAGAGAGAATTCTCAAATTCTCTCAATTCCCTCATCGAGGAAGATAGGGGCCGTCGTTCGCCGGTGACATTTCACAGTGGCCGAAGAGAGCCAAACTCCTAAAAAAATTCTCCCATCTCCCTCAAACCATATCCTAACTCCTTTTAACACAAAACTCACCCTAAATCTCTAGCTCTAGGTATTACCTTTCGAAAAAACAAAGATCCAATGACCCTTTTTTGCTTCCGACGAACGTTGTATTCGGTAAGTCTTATCTTCTCTCTGTTATGTATATTTTTTATGCTCATTTCTTCTTCTTCTTCTTTTCGAATATCCCTTTTCTTTTATCTCTCTTTTTTTGTCTTTGAAAAACTGGTTTCTTGTTTGTTTTCTCTCTTTCTTTTATGGTGATGCATGTTGATGGATAAGGGAAGAGGGTATCATTATCATATTTTCATTGATTGACATAATAAGATTTGATTTGGATTTGTTATCATTTTTATGGTGTTGTTTGACATTGATATGATTTTCGATCACTATGGAATGAAAATAGTAGCGTGACAGTGGCGGCGGGGAGCTCTGGTGGTGGTTCACACGACTGAAAAGTCAAAGGGTTGGCACATGCATCACATGTGTACCATTGAACGATCCAAATCCCTTGATGGCGGTGGCTGTAGCTTCTTTTCTTGGTTAGGGTTTTAGAAACCTTAAATGGCCACTGATCTGGACTGTTGATTTGAGTCCAGATCCAACGGCTGGTATTGGGGCGGCTAGGGCTAATGGGTGTAAACCCTAATGGGTTTGGGGTTATCAATTTAGTCATGAGACGGTCAGATCTTGGGTCGGGTCTGGGCTCTGTTTTGGGCTTGATTATTTTTATTTTGGGTCATTGTAAATTGGGCCTACACAATGTAAAATAAAATATTATAAACAGTAGTAGTAGTAGTAATAATAATAATAATAATAATAATAAAGTAGAACCCTGACAAAAATGGGTGTCTATAGTTGCCCCTTTTTGCACATTCTTGTGTTAACAAGAATAGGGCAAAGACAACAAGATACCAAGTTTTTGTCTGGTTCTCCCTTTTGCTTTAAAACTTGATATGTTTGTTGTAGATGACGTTGTTCCTTCTCATTGAGGAACTCGGGTCAATCTGGAGATAATTTGTTAATGAAGATGACACTGCTAACACGTGATGAAGAGTTCTAGTCATTTTTAGGTAAATTAAGAGATAATATGGTTCCTACGTGATGAGGAAATCTGGTTATCTAAGGGTAACGCTGCTCCTACGTGATGAGGAGATATGGTCAGTGTATGGCACTATTCTTACGTGATGAGGATGTCTAGACATCTTTAGGGATAAATGGAGATAGCATGGTTCCTACGCGATAAAGAAGTCTGGCTATCTAAGGATGACGCTGCTCTTATGTGATAAGGAGATCTGGTCGGTGGATGACACTGCTCCTATATGATGAAGACGTTTGGCCATCTTTAGGGATAATTTGGGAGACAACACGGTTCTTACGTGATGGGGAAGTCTGGTTATCTAAGGTTTACGTTGCTCCTACGTGATGAGAAGATCTAGTCGGTGGATGACATGGTTCCTACGTGATGAGGACGTTTGGCCATCTTTAGGGATAAATGGAGATAACATGATTCCTACTCGATGAGGAAGTCTAGCTATCAAAGGATGACGTTGCTCCTACGTGATAAGGAGATCTGGTCGGAGGATGACACAGTTTCTACGTGATGAGGACATTTAGCCATCTTTAGGGATAATTTGTTTCAAGAGAAACTGTTTCAAGCGAGATAAAATTTATTTCAAGGGAAACAATCTCAAAGGTTTATGTTTCAAGAGAAACTGTCTCAAGAGAGACAAAATTTGTTTCAAGATAGACAAATTTTTTTAAGAGAAATAATCTCAAAGGTTTGTGTTTCAAGAGAAACTATCTCAAGAGAGACAAAACTTGTTTCAAGAGAAACAATCTCGATGTTTTTATGTTTAAAGAGAAACTGTCTCAAGAGAGACAACATTTGTTTTGA